CAAAAAGAAAGATTGTATGACTTTGTGTCTTCACTGTTCTTTCCTCACTACTTTTCTTCAGTCCTCACAGATAATCATGAATCCTTCGTCGTCGTCCAACAGTACTAGTAGCAGCGATACTGTCACCATCACTACTCTCAACCAGGTATCTCTACAAATGAATCGTTATCTGTCGATGATCATTCTTCTTTTTGGAACAGTTGGCAATGTTCTTAACATATTTGCTTTCCGTCACCGAGCACTTAGGTCGAATCCGTGCTCATTTTACCTTCTCTGTTCGTCTATTTCTGGACTTTTTGCTCTCTATTCAATTCAAGTCACACGAATATTGAGCACCTATAAAAAGGATCCAACATATGAATTGTCATTTTTGTGCAAAATTCGAACATTTACACTATTTTTATCACTTACACTGGCGTCTGCATTCATTGCCCTTGGCTCGATCGATCGTTATTTTTGCTCCTGTCGTTCAGTATCAATGCGTAGTTTATCAAATTTAAGAAACGCACGTCGTCTGAGTTTACTAACAACAGTAATTGGGATTCTGCTCTATGTCGAAATATTCTACTGTCATGAAGCCAATCTTTCAACAGCACCTGTCCCATGTTATTCAAAAAATTTACCCTGTCGATTATACAATGATCTGGGATTTTTGATATTTTACATTTTTATCCCGTTATCTGTTATGACAATATTTGGATGCCTAACAATTGGTAATATTAAACGATTTCGACAAATAACTCCACTACAAATTTCGAAGACAGCAACAACATCACTACCATTAACAGGAATAAAACGACGAAATGACCGGCAATTAATTAAAATGTTATTCGCTGAAGTTCTGCTGCTGTTATTTATCGATACACCCGTCGGTCTTCAGCGATTTTACACAACGATAGAAATGTCTGTTATTAAAACACCTCTACGAGTAGCAATCGACGACTTTGTACTACAACTTTTTTCTTCTTGTCAATATGCCGGGAACGCAATTCCATTCTTTTTGTATCTGTTCACCGGATCGATATTTCGAGCAATAATAAAAAAGTTATTTGTCTCATGAATATGTGCTGATATTGACAATCATGTTAAATTAGCCGTAATTCTATTTATTTTTTTCAAATAGATGAATAATATGACGAAAGTGAGAAAGCCAGAGCCAATTGCATTCTAGTTAAATGTGCCCCACGCTAAAACTATAATAAAAAAATGATTTTCTTCTCAATGAATTTTTTTGATATCAAAAATTTCTGTCGAATGCGTAAAACTTTATATTTAGCACCTTTAATACGTTTAAACGCTTATTTAGTGAATAAAAAGAAATTTTAACGTCATCGCATGTGTTAAAAGTTAACGCATTTAGGTGTTTAATTTTTCTAATGCATTTTTACAAATTCCACATCTTTAAATGCCTTATTAACGAACTACTAATTTAAACTTTTTAAATTTTTTCACACGTTCAAATGTATAAGAAAAATTTCTCGCTCATTTAACATGTATTCAGATTAATTCAGCAAAACTCTCATAACTCTTGATTAGAGCATCATTCAGAGCTGGGAGATATCTCATTTTGATCAGAAATGTTTGCTCTATTTCCTGTTATTACTAAAAGTAGTTTTTCATTTCCTTTTAAATCGAAAAGTCAGCTTTTCACCAAGAAAACGTTTCTAAAAACCTCCATAACCCTTCGATGAGAGCCAAATCACATTGGATCCTGACAGTAAATAGGTAAATAGTAAATCTTTTAACGCATTCCAATACATTAAAATTGTTTTTTCGTTAACATAATTAACTTAAGAGCTAACACGCACGAATCCTTATGATGCACTACAACAAGATGATGGAATTTCAAATAATATGTCACTCAAATCGCAACATATGTTAACAAATTCGACATCATCGATTCAGTTAAAAATTCATGCATGTGAAGGCATTAAGGGTACCCGCCACCTCTTTTCTGAAAAAATTTTGATTTTGGGCTGAGCATAGCCTAATGTAAAATGGATCCGAAAGTGTGGGCTATAAAATCAGACCACATCCGGCACCCCATGACCTTTCTTCAAAAAGTTATGCTTTTTCGAAGTTATTTCTAAAAAACTAAAGTTTTTAGTTTCATAAACTTTTCACTCGTTTTCTGTACTTTCAAAAGATTTCTTACACATATTTTGATAGAAGAAAGTGTTTTCTTCATAATGAGACGTCTCCCAGAATTTTCTGATCAGTTTTCGTGGAGATATAGGCATCGCGCCAAAGGCCCTGAAAAAGTGATCTATGTACAAAATGCGTTTTTTCTAAAAAAACTATTTTTTTGCTACCGTGCTTCATTGGACCACATTACGGCCCGCCTTAAGTTTCTTTTGACCGAGTTAAAAATTTTATCAGAGGCATTGAAACACTATTATAGAGGTATATTTTTCTAATTTTATTTTAGATCTTTCTTTACCGAGTTATAGGGTTTCTAAAATTGAACAACTTAGTTTTTGAGGCGTTTTTCTGTATTTTTCCTATAACTCGATCAGGAAAGGTCTTAAAAAAATTTTCAAAAATATATCCCACCGATATGACCTTAAGCTCTGATAAAATTTGTAACTCGTTCGGATGAAGTTTTAGGGGAGGTCGTAATGTGTTCCACTGAAAAGCCGAGTTTTCTGGAAAACCGGTGAACGATAATGGTTAAATCTTGAAACGAAAAAGAAAAAGAACTCCATTCAGTTTCCGATAAGTTCTGAAAGTATGACGCCTGAGTGACTTTTGGTTTTTATTTCATAGAATGCTCAAAAAGAGAGGATGGGTACCCTTAATGATGTTTAAAAACAGAAACGATGCTTGCATTCTATAAGGAAGTATTCTTCTTTTTTTCTGACAATGATATCAGATTCCTCTCAAAAAGTTCGTTCTAGGACGATTTCTTCTGCTCAATCAGACATACTGTAGAGGACCTACACTTTTCCAAAAAATGATACTATTTCTTGATATGTTCATCTATGAATACAGCCAAATGCATTAAAATTTAATGTATTTTCATGAATTAAATAATTTTAATGCGTTTGAATATATTAAAATTTTTAACGCGTTGAATAGCGTTGAGTTTAACTTATGAATGATGAACAGTACCTGGTAGACCATAGCTGGAAGGATCTTGAGGTCCATTAGCGGAACAAAAAGCTGACTGAAAAGGATAGACACACCATAACGCCTTAAAATTACATTTTGATCCGAAGTATTATTCTAACGAGTGTAAACGCACTCAAGAAGCTAACTTGTTCAATTTTCAACTAGTTTGAACGCTTTACGATTGAATCGAGGCGTTATCATGCACTACAAATTCTTACTCCTTAGAATCGCCGAATATGAAACATTTAACGCGATTCTAACGTTAAGCCACTTACGTAACGCGTTAGGATTATCAAATGTTCATGATTAACGAGAAAACAGAGAAAGAAAAACGTCATTATTTTTTTATTCCTTTACAATTAACTATACAAGTCTCGTACATAAATTAATTGTAGGACTTTGTTATTCAATGAATTATACGTGACTGAAGCTGAATTGCTCATTAGTTATCTAGTTATTTAAGCTTTCGAATAACTTTCCCTCCTCGACGAACTTAATTTATCTCAGGGTGATTAATGTAAAGCATAAATGTAAGCAGTTTTTATCTTCTTCCTTTCTTTCATATCCATTTCGTAAAAAATGAGCCTGCAA